CTGGTTGGTGCCATTGCGTGGTGATGGTGAGGGCTGGCTGGAAATTGGCAAGGTCCCGGAGCATCGTGCCAAGAAGTGTGCAGTCTGCGGCAGGTGGGGGTATGCGGAAGGCAAGGGGGTGGTCGGTAAGCCCGCTATCCAGTTGGTAGGCCTCAAGTGATTCCATGAGGAGGTCATGTGTAGGGGAGCCACGGTCGTTGGCAATACGGAGGAAGTGGCATAGGCGTTGGCTGTGGCTGAATCGTTCACAGTGGACCAGTCCCAGTCCATCCGTAGGTTCATAGAAGCACTCTGTGGGGTGGTCGTGGGGTAGCTTGAGGACCCGGCGCGCCGTCTTACGGAATAGGGTGTCAAGGGCCGGTGCGATGCTGATGGTATTACTGATGGCAGTGCGGTAGAGGACACTCGGTATCCAGACGGAGTTGATGATGTACACGAGTTCTTTCTTTCTTAGCCCCCGGGGGGCTACGGCATCGGCTTGGGTGTTGAGTCGCTGCCATACCGCACGCGTGGTCTCTTCCCATTGGTTGTCGGTGCCTTGATGAATACCTAGATGGCGGAAACCCTCGGAGGGTGCGACCACGCGTATGGGTTGTGGAATGCCAAGCCCGTCGTTGAGGGCAATGGCCGGGTGTGCGTGGGGGATAGGTAGAGGAGGAAGGATTTGGCAGCACCAAAGACTCCGCCGGACGTGGATTGGTCGATGAATGTGTTGCGTGTTCGGTCTTGTATGCCAGCATAGGTTGTCGTGATGTCGAGGGCGTCATCCACGACTAAGAGGCTGGAGATGGTGCGGTTTGGGCGCCCTGGGGGTGTTGGCTGTGCACAATGCGGACTGGGTCCAGGCCACTGTGTTGCTGGTGTAGGAGGACGTCCATATAGTATCCAATATGCATGACCGCTAGGATAGAACCTTGGCCCAGGCCGAATTTCCGGATACCGCCATCGAGCCAGCCGAAAGCCGTGCGGATATCGATTTGACTGGCCCCAAGGAAATGGGCCATGAGTCGGCGCGGGAGGGGGGGACACCGAGTTTACGGTAGATGTATTCCATGACCCAGCCTGGGATTCTGTCTAAGCATTTGAGGCAGTCCTTAGAAATATGGAAGAGTTTTCCTGCCGGCGTTCGGCGCGTTCGATAAGGAGTGAGGTTAGGCGGCGTCCTGAACTGTGCGGTCTCGCTGGAAGCCGTGTTGCATTTCGTGGTTGGGGATACAGGGGGTGATGTAGTCCCGTATAACGGTAAAGATTCGACTGCTGAAAGCACTTTGGACCGTGATGGGGCGCCAGGGGGAAAGTCCAGGGTCTAAGTTTACCACCCCGTGGGCTGTATCCGATTTGGCAAGGTAGATCATCTGTTTTCGTCCGAGTATCAGCGGGACTAGGCCTGTGCGTAGCATGGGGTTGATGATCACCCGTTCCCTGGCTCGTATGCATGCAGCGATCCAGAGTTCCTGGGAGACACCCCCATATCCTGGGGATATGCGTGTTCGTAGGCTACGGTCGCAGCGGGCTTGCATGTCTTCATCGTAGTGGTGGGTGTCCCAGGTAGTGCCCGCAGGGGATTGGAAGCCTTGTGCAACTTTGTCGGGCCGGTCCATGTCCTGGAGTAGCCAGTCGCGGAAGAAATGGGGGACATTTTGGCGGTCGGTCTCAAGTCCTGAGTCTACCTGATTGTGCCATCGAGCCAGTCCCCGATTTCCTGGGGGGACCATGCTGTGACGGCGTTAGGGGGGGGGTGCGGGGGTGAGTTGGGGTAGTTGGCCCTCACGGAGGAGTTTGGATGTGTGTACGCCGAAGGATGCAATGTCAGCCTTTGCAAGGGTGCGGGTGTTGACAACGCGGATGGGCTTGACCCCAGTAAGTCGAGATGGGGTGTGATCGCCGGGGCCCAGGTCTAGGGCCATATATGGAGTGCCTGGATGGTCGCTGGAGTGGATGGTGTGCAGTGCGACGGCCGTGTTGTTGCGGGCGTATGTGTGCCGTTGGATGCTGGGTTAGAAATTTACATTATACTTAATGGGGTTGAGTTTCCAATGACTAACAACCTACCAGTGTAACTGCTAGTACTACTAGTAACTATAATACTAGTAATTACTGGGAGGGGAAGGAAAGATCTGGAGCGTTCCGTGGCACAGATACGTGGTGGCTGGGCGAAACGTCCGAGCCAAACAGATGGCTTGCAAAGGTTTCGTCACCAATCTGGGACCAAGGCAGTGTAAAGACACGACGGAGGGGGATGGGAAAGGCCTCTTGAGTGCCGTTGGATGCTGGGGTGGCGGTGACGGAAGGAGGAGACAAGTCCGATGCTCTGCGTCCATTGTTGGAAGGCGATGCCGATGTCATTGCTGGGGCCGGATCTTGGTGTTGGAGCAGACTGGTCGAGGGGGTTGGGCCCATAGGTATTGAAATCCCCTTCCATGACCACAAAGTGGTGAGGATCCGTGGCTCGGGTGGTTGCCTGTGCTAGCCATTGCCATTCGCTGTCCGTGGCTTCCTTGTGGGCGGCGGGATTGTCCTGACAGTACGTGCCGATTAGTGTGACAAGTGTACTTTTGCCCAGGCGGAGTGTGATGGCTAATTTACGCCCGGAGGGGGAGTATGTGGTACAGCGGGCGTCGATGCGGGAGTGCCAGCGATGAATGTCGTAGAATAGGCTAACACGGTGGTTACTAACAGCCATAACGCTGGGTGCGTGTGACCTACCGTGTGGGTGTGTCCATAGTTGTGTGGCCTTGTGGGCCGGCAAGTCAGAGTCGGCGATGATGAGGAAGTCGAGCGCATTGGCTCGGAACCACGTGGCCAGTTCGGCGCTCAATTTACCATACGTATTTTTATTGATGTTGGTCGCTGCGATACGTAGGCTGCCTACCTGTATGTCCAGGGTTGGGGTTGAGCCCGCGTCTCCGATGAAGGCCTCACCCTCTAGGGTTTCCCTCAGGAGGACGTTGTCCCGTTGGATGCGGGCCGTGTGCATGTCCGGGGGGGAAACGCTGGATCCTCCAGGAGCTGCGGCGGCGGCGCCGTCTGGTCATGGGAGTGGTGGGGGGGGCTGGTGTAGGTCGTCCGCGATGCGGTGGTCGAGTTGTTCGGAGTTATTGGAGTCATCTGAGGAGGGTGGGTCACGTAGGTGGTCGAAAGGATACGCAGCATGTAAGGGTTGCACTGAGTGTGCCGGTTAGTGTGCAGAGAGAAGAGTGGAGTCCGGTTGGGTGGCAGCGGCCATGGGTACGGAGCATGTGGACCAGAGCAGGAAGCTCATGAACCACCATAGTACAGACCAGGGGCGTTGTCGGGGTGTCGTTGGTCTGAACCGACTCCCCGGGGTTAGTTTGATCCCATGGTGTCGTTTGGGTCTGTCCCCATGGAGTCATCGGGTCCAATTGGCTGGTTCAGTGGAACGGAACCATCGGGTGCGGGGGAAGAGGGCGTCAGCGTAGGCTGGGTGGGGTACGTGGCTGGTAGTCTGGTCGCAGGGGTGCCGAGGGCGGCGAGGCCAGCGAGTTGGGAGGAGACACTCTGCATGGCTTGCATATGGGTGCGTAGACTGGATCGATGATGGGGAGGCGTTCGGCCATTGCCGCTTGGTAGGTGCCCTGTTGTGTGATGGTGGTTTGCAGGCGGTTTTGCGCCTCCGTCAACTTGCGTTGGTCCTCGATTGTTGGTGTTCAGCAGCCTCCCGGAGGCTGCGTTCTTCGAGGAGTCGCGCATCGAAGTGGTGAAGGCTGCACTGGTGGCAGAGACTAAGGCTGTGAGGGCCTCCTTATCCGCTCGGAGGGTATCGACTTCCTGCTCGAGTGGGGCTGTGGCCTGGACGATACGGTGGTCCACATATGTGGAGAGTTCCCGTCGGAGGTCCGTGGTCGGGACTGATGCGTGCAGCGGTTGTTGTCGATCGCAAGGCTTGCCCTAGTGGCCCAGGCGGCCACAGTCGGGATATTGCATTGCCACGAACGTGGTCCATGTGGTGTCGCCTCTGCAACAACTGCATT